TCTTATTGCTGTGTATGCTCGACGTAAAAGAGATGTTCTACGCCAAACTTGCGTCTGTGTCAGACTGTTGTCCTCGGCGAGATATTTATATCGTTCTGGGTGACTTCAATACAGTATCTGGCTGTGATCGAGCTGGCTATGAGATGTCTGCCGGTCCCCATGGTTCGGGACCAGATGCCGGCAGCGAGAATAGCCTCCTATTCCGGGACTTTGCAAGGTCCTAGAAATTGAGGATTTCCGGCACCTGGTACCAGTGTAGTGATTCTCTAGTGATTCAAGTGAATAAAATCGATAAAAACCACCGATCCTTGATATGGAAGTCTTGCTGCCACCACCTGGTTAGTTCGTCCAGGAACGTTAGTTTACGTCTAGAAGAGGGTAAACGAAACTGGATAGCAAGTGTAAAGAAATGACCATACCAAGTTTCAAAGGTTAACACTGAAGTAGCGTGGTTTTTAATGTCGGAGGTGGAGTGCGCGTCGGCCCTAAGCCGATGGAAGGTATAGATTTATGGGTTTTGAATATGCAAAATCAAAGTCTAGAATTCTAAAAGAAATCAGACACTCAATAACTTTTTAACTTTCAAGGGTTTGAATCTTCCATATCTTTTCATCTCCATAGTTTATCTTCATTATTTATGCTGCTATCATGGAAATTAACATACCATAGAAAATACTGTCTGCCTTCATCTCAAATCTCATCTTATTTATCATCTCATTTATCTTCATTTCAAGTATTATTTTAAATAAACTAAAATCTTTAGGTTGTTTTAAATATAACATAAAGTACTTGAGGGAGCGTATATAGAGGTGTTAAATATTAAATAATTTGAAGTTACATTTATTACATATTACCACATATAAACGATAAAAGTTCACTAAAAAATGACAAGCGAACATGAAATAAAACGAGAAATAAAAACGAGAAAAAAACAGTAAAAAAACAACTTAAAAACGAAATCATAAAAAAGAGCACATCGCCTTAAGAAATAAAAAATAACAAAGATATTCCGTCTTACGACCTTCAGCAAAGCGTCCTTACAACCACAACCACAAGAAAATAAAAAATAAACATCTCCCTACATCCAACTGCCGGGTCACACGGCTGGGAGATGCTCTGGCCTAACCTGGGTTCCTGGATTATATTTATTACAACCCTCCGCAACGAATATACAAAAACGAAGGGATTCGGGGGGTCAAAAAAGGTCAAGAGGACACCTTTCTCAATAGAGGGCGGTACCTCCTTCCCTCCCATTAAGTTGGTTTTACTTTAAAAAAAACTACCCGTAAAACCCCTTCAAACGATTTTTAAAAGGACGAAGTAGCTTTAGGACTAAAATATTAATAAAACAAGAGGAAGGATGCTGCCTTCAAAGGGATGGAATGTGCTCATTCTTAAAAAGAAAACGAGTAAAATTTATATAAAAACATTTTAATTAAGAATAAATGAATCATAAAAGGAACATCAGCTAACACATAAAATTGAATAATCGATTCCCACCCTCCAGACATCTCTCCGCGACCCGAGCACCGTAATACATCGCGTGACCAGACCGCTTCTGCTTGTCGATCACTACACCAGCACTCAAACCCACATATTTGGACTTGGTACTGTGGTGAAAATAATGTAGCTAAGGAGATCGCACTCCTTAGAAGACCCTCCAGAACTGCAGGGTGTATAGGAGTGCCAAGTTCTGTGGTACTGACCATAGATTGGTTGTGGCTACCTTCCAGGTCCATTTCAAAACTCCTCCTCCAAGGGCGTTTCATTTAAATAAGTTGAGGGAGGGGGAGTGTGCCCAGGGGTTTGCTGAAGCAATCTCTGGTCGTTTTACAGCACTCGACAATCTGATGGACCCTATACTTCTGTGGGATACCTTCAAGCACGAAATGCTTGATGCAGCTCAAGAATTGATTGGTGAACACCTGAGAGCAAGACAATTTTATCTCACAGGAGACTGGAAGCTACAGATGCTTGCCGTGCAGTTCGTCTGACAGGGGATCGGGATTTGCACCGTTCTCTGGTGCGAAGAACTCGGTCGCTGTTAAGAAGGAACAAAGAACAATTTATTAGAAGTCTTGCAGAGGAGGTAGAAGGGCATTTCTTAGTAAATGACCTTCGTCCTGCATACCAAGCTCTGAGAAAGCTGAACTCCAAGCTCTCTTCACAGGTGACAGCAATTCGCTTAGTAAGTGGCCAGATCGTCTCAGATCCTGTTGCGGTGCGGGAGCGTTGCGCTGAGCATTTTGAGCAGTTGTACCAGGTTGACCCACCAACAGTTAACTTGGATGCAGGGAGTGTCGAGATTCCAATGCCAGACCCACCCATCAGTGAGGATCCACCCTCCCTTACTGAAGTTATGGTGGCGATCTCCAAGCTGAAGAGTGGTAAAGCAGCAGGTATCTGCAGCATACCAGCTGAACCGTTAAAGGCTGATGGTGAACCTATGGTACTGGGGTTTCATACTGTCCTGGCTGCCATCTGGCGGTCCAGTACCATT